AGTTGGGTTATTGAAATTTAATACTTAGGAAATAAGTTTGCAGTGTCTTTTTCTGTGCTGCAAATTCTGTGCCAAAGATCTGCTGATAGTGTTTGCTTGAGATTGGTTGTTCTTTCTACAAGGTCAGAACCTGAAAAATCGTGTCTTCTGTGTTAGAATTTGTCAAAAAGCAAATAAGTGGTACTACTCCGACAAGAGTATTTTTTGACAGAGCTTGAGCTTTTAATTGAGCTATACTGGTGTGGAGCATATGTTCTGCTAAAGCTGCCATGCCATGCATTTCTTCTCAACTAACCTATTTATTAAATAAACTGAAGGAAAACCAGTTGCTGCCATGCAACCTCTCTGCTTTAACATGGACTGGACTGTAGCATCAGTGCAGCTAAGACACAGTTGTAATGTTAATACAAGTTTACAACAGATTTTGTAGAAATTTGGTGAACGTTTAGGGAGGGAAATGCAGGTGGGATGTGCTTTAGATACTCAAGTCTTTACAAAGTGTGTGAACAGTGGTTTTACTCCTGCATGAGTTTGGGGTTAAAGTGATGTTTTGAATTGTTTGGTTTGCTTTTTTTTTGTTGTTTGTTGGGGGTAGGGAGTTGGGTTAAGATATGAGTCCTATTGTATTTTTCCCCTATACTGTGTGCCACAAACTTGAAGGACTAAGGGGAAGCAATAAATTATTTTCTGTGACAGTGCAACTTACATTATTAATTAATCTTAAAATGCTGATTACTAGCTCACACTGAACTATTCTGACAGCTCCCAATTTTTTGTCTTTTATTTTACTCTTAAGTTTAGCTTTACAATGAAAAATTGTTTTATGAATAAGGTGGTTTCTGCCCATTTTATGGTAATGAATTTCTCTGGAAACTTGCTCCTGTTACATAAATAGAATTTGCATAAGTTAATTTTAAAATATGGCCTGTATATTTAGAAAATAAATCAAACCTGAGTTCTTCATCTAATGAATGAATTTAATATACTACAGATAACACACCAAAGGAAGGCTTCCAATCATAAGAGATGTTTCATCTATTGCTTTCTGATTTTAAGGTGCCTCTTTTCATGCTGGTATGTGGACTCCGAAGGGGATTCTTTAAAGGAATGAAACAATAACATACTCTGTGCAAAGGTTCCAATGAGCTATAGTACTGTCTGCTGTCACCTATCAGTTCTTTTTAAATTTTTGTTCAAAAAAATCGTTTTTATGTTAAAGTCCAGTGAAAGCAATTCTGTTATTGAATGTGGCGTGATTTAATGTTTTAAAACACATTTTTCTTTCTCTTTCAGCTTTACATCTTCCAATCCAGCCTTACAACATGGGTAAAAGTCCTGCACTTCAAATTTGAAGCAATCTGCAGTCAGAAACTTTGATGTTTTGCTAGTCCAAGATATCAGAACCTCTTCACTCAAAACTGACAACTGTGCAAGAGGACATCCTTGATCCTTCAAGCCAGGCTTCAGTTTCTCTTGACTCCCTTTTTTAGTCTTTGAACATTACCCATGACACAATTATATTATTGTTGTTACAAATCATAGTTTTGTTTTTTGTGCAAACGAGTGAAAAGACAAAGATGTAAAAGTAACCTTATGGTAAAAAGGATTATTTACATTACTGGTATCAAAATCAGTATGTTCTCTCATAGCCTCAAAAGTTGCAGTCTTGCAGTTCACTAGTGTGGAAAAAAACCAACTAGTATAAATAGTGAATTTTTTTAGGCAGGGAGCACCGGTATTTTTATTACCATTTTGTGTAACTAGGTTTAAACAAAACAATTGTAAGCATTATGTTCTGTTTTATGGTACAGGCTTCATGGACATTTCCTGATTCTCTTTGTAGTCTTGATTTCTGAATCCTGAATTCTCAAGTTTTATTGTGTGTGTTATAATATCATGTAATTGAACCCTTGTTGTGAAGACTGGAATGAAGCCAAATGAATATTTGATCTTCAGTAGTTTGCTTAAGATGGCTTGAATGACATCTGTCAGTCTTGGTGTATAGTCTTAGAGAAGACTGATCTTTTCTGAGCGGAATTAATTGTAGGGTTTTTTAACTTTTAAAAATTTTATTATTTATTTATTTGATAGATCTTAAAATAAAGATGTAAGACTGGATGCCTATCCTGGTGCCTTACTTATATCATACATCATCTCTATTGCCCCCTTATTATGTGCGAACTAAGCTGAAAAAATCCATGTGCTGTCAGTTTAAAGTTGAAGTTGTGCAGCATCTTGTGTACTTCAGTCTCATCTCTTCTGCAAATGTAGTCCATTTTCTAAATATTAAATCAAAATTTTATTTTGGTTGCTAAAGGCTGCAATCTGTGTTCCTTATTTAACAGATTAGTCTCCAATGCCTGAATTTACAAACTGGTGAAAAAAACCCATATATTTTAATAAAAATTCAATTAGTAGCAATTGTGGCTTCATGATGGTGTATTCTTGTTTTCCTTCTATTTTTGAACAAAAAGCATTAATTCCTTATTACACCAAAATATCCTTTAAGCATGAAGCACCTGACTGTATGCTTTGATCTGATTTCAGCTTTGCAGGAAATTTAAAGTGTGGAATTTTTGCAACTGGTTTCAGTGTTCCCAGAGCTTTACTAGTATTTTCTTGCAATGGTACAAGATGTGTCCTGTGTAAAGCATCTGCTTGTGGACCCTTGCAGTTGTGAAGTAGGCACTCATGCTGTATATCCTGCCCTTGCATGTTTGGCTCTAGGCTCTCAGAAAGGAGCAGTCAGTTTTGTGTAGAAGTCCCATCGCTTCTTTCTTGTTTTTCTGTTGTGCTTTTGAATTCTATGGTATTACTCTGGTAAGACCATCAGAAGTAATTGTGCCCTACTGTTACCTCTCTTGTATTTGAACTTTGCTGGAATGTGGATCTGAAAAGACTGAGATATTGACAAAATGTGAAGGAACGTCTGCCTTCCTAATTGAAATTATGAAGTAGATGGACAGATATCGTTTGCTAGTGACCAGTAATACTATAAATGTACTTACAGCTCAGAAAAAGAAATAAATTAAAAATGAGAAAATAGTTTTCTTTACAAACTACATTAAAAACCGGTTTCTTCAAATCTAGCAAACAGCATCATAGGCTTTTTCTCAGTCTGCTGGAAATTTAAAACTTCTCAGACTCATTTTGCATCTAAATACTATTTTCTTCAACAGAATTTAATCCTGCTGTAATTTGATCAGGGAAGGACAGAACATAGATACAGTTTTTCCTTCTGTTCTGTTGTTTCAAACGTCTCCTGTTATTAAGAATTCTCATCTCTTGAGATACCAGGATTGTATTGTTGAATACAATACCTGCATCAGGCCACCTGGAACATTTATTTGCAGTTCTGGAGAATAAAAGTTACTCTAAATATTACCCTCTGTAATATTTATATGATTCTGCAGAGTTGGTAAGTCAGCAGATCCTAGGCTGAATAGGGACATACAGAGGTTAGAAATCATGTTCCTTAGAATTGTCTTACAGAAGAGATTTTAAAGGTATTAGATTAAAGAAATGGAGTTTGCAGGTCGGTGTATTTAGCTTGTTAAATATATTGCTGAAACAAGCAGGTTTTCATTAATTACTTTTTAAATCAGGTCTCTTATATGGAATTCAAAACCTAGGAATTCCGTAAATAATCTTTCAGTATTAAAAAAGAACTTGCACTTTTCATAGTACACTTGCACTCTTTCTTGATTTTCTTCAATCAGACTGTATAATAGTACATATCTTTAATATAGTATTCCTACATCATTTGAAAGCATGTAAATAGAAAACAAAATTAAAACAAGAAAACAAATAAAATGGAAAAAAAAAAGAAACCAAAAAATATAAAAGGGGAAAGAAAATGTAAGTGGATAGTGCAAGAGATATTCCTACATCATTTGAAAGCATTTGGTAATGATGCAAGGTTCGTTATTATAAGAAGGAATTGTAAGAATACGTAGTATGTGCGTCTGAATTAGGTTTTTTGGAGTGTTTGGCCTGTGTAACTTCCTTCACAAATTCCACATCCTTCACAAATAGTTGCACTGGAAATTGTACTTATGAGTGCAGTGAGTTACTGGTAATATGTGATGAAGTTTTCAAAATACTTCCACAAAATAGTCAGAAATTATGCTTTAATTTTAGACCAAGTGATCTTTACAGCACTTTGAAAATACTATCCGTATCTAGAGTTGATTCCGCTTTTAAAATAATGAAGCAGTTGACTTGTGAATTGAGAGATGTCCTTTAAGTGGACATCTGTGTAAAATAACTGAGCAGCACAAAAGTGCTGTACCTTTTTTAGAAGAAAACAAAATAAAACAGTCCCTGCAAGCTGGACTGATGGTATTGGAAGCTGAACTCCTGGCCCTGTATTCACCAGTAGAGACAATAAAAAGTAACTTCCTAGAAATAATTTAGTAATAATGGTCTAAGGAATGAGATGTAAAATACCAACTAATTTAGAATAGGTTACTGTGCCTGTGCTCATTGTATTTGTCATAACACTTAAAGACCTTGTACTATTGTGGAAGTTGGCAGTTGATACATTTGTGATGTTAGGATGATGACCATATTTGAAGGAAGGCAGGGATAATATGATCTTGCAAGAAAATTTTCAAGTATTTTCAAACAAGTTTGCTAGTTCTGAGAGTTGGGTTTTTTTCTTTTTTTCTTTTTTTAACTTTCATATGAGCTTTAATAGTAGTTTGAAAAAAAACTTGGTAGGATTTGGGGGGCAAATTACATAAATGTAATGAGGTTTTGATAGTCTCTTGGACTACTGTAAAAGGCAAAAAGACCAAAACCAATATTTCTCAGGAAGATCATACCATGTCGTAAGGCTGGAGATGGATGTAAAGCTACAAAGGAAATCATTTGCCAGGTAAGAACAAATTGTTGAGATGCACAAATCAGAACAAGTGTGGTATGTTCTGCTGAAGTTGCTGTATCTTCCTTTATAGTTGTCTTTCACAGTTTTCACTGACGTCTTATTTTGTTTTCAGGTTTATGGTAGGTTGTGGTAGATGTGATGATTGGTTTCATGGTGATTGTGTTGGACTGAGCCTTTCTCAAGCACAGCAGATGGGTGAAGAAGATAAAGAGTATGTGTGTGTGAAATGCTGTGCTGAAGAAGACAAAAAAATGGAGTGTTTTGATCAAAGTGTACCAGATACTCCAGTGAAACTTGAGCATAGAGAAGAAAAAGCAATTGAGTGTGAAAAACTGGGGATGTCGAAGCAAACACCTGCTTGTAATCTAAATACGACAACTGAAAAAACAAAGCAAATGGAGGACACTGGGAAGCACAAAGTCAAAATCTTCAGGCGGGTGAGTCTTATTTGGTGCTTTAAGTTCTCTTAATTACTGGGGTTAGAAGGTTTTTTCCTGTCCTAGTACCAGTTAATAGATTATGTTTCAAACATCTTTGTGAATCTAATTTAAAACTTCTCTTTTATTATTGACAGAGTTACTTCATTTTCTAAGTGGCATGACTTCTTCAAGATGATATTGCTAAACCCTTCTCATATTTGAACAGGTTTATGTGCATTTCGTATGCATATAGAATATCCTGAGTTTGAAGGGGCCCCTAAGGATCATCGAAGTTCAGCTCCTCAATGTGTATATTAAACTATACATGCAGGGGTATATAGAAGTGGTGAATAACTTAGTGCATTTTTCTTTCAGATTTCTGAATTTATTCTAAGACATCTGGCAATTTTCTATATGTTATAAACTGCAGATATATTAAATATCTGTAAGACAATATGCCAACAGTGTTTTACTTTTGATTGTTTTTACTTCAGATTGTGTGTGGAGGAAAATGCCTAATGCTTTAATTGGGACCTTTCTACTTTTTGTGTCTGATTTTACTAACCAAAGAATAATTTGCAAAGAGTATTGAGACAATTCTTCAGTCTTTTAGTGTATCGTATTCATGATAACATCATCCTCAATAATTCTGTCTTATTTCTGAATAGTGATATAGAAATTCTGACATGTAAGCTATTCCTTTTGATTTTGGCTTACATAGCTTTTTAAACATCAGTGATGTCTGTGGATATGTGGCTAAAACTGGTTAAGGGATGTTCATTCATCCCTGACATATTAAAATAAAACGTAGTGGTTTTCAATACAGAGCTTAAATGCAAATTGTGTTGTGTCTTCAGCCAGTATTTAAAAGAGACTGCAGTGCTTGGCAGTAATTTGGAATTTTGTTCAATAACTCTTTAGAAAATATTATATGATGGTGCATACATCCAGGATATACGTTATACATATAAAAAGAAAAAAAAAAGAAAAATATGTGGTAATTAGGTGGTGGTTGATTGTAGCATTCAGTAGTGTGCTAACACGTGTTAATGTTTATTTCAGGAATCTGGTGAAGGGAAGAACTTGTCAGAGTCCAGAGACTTGGATACAAAAAAAGGGCAGCATGTTACTGCTCGGAAAGGACCACAAACTGGTGTAATTCCTCGGCGATCCCCTGAAGATAAAAATGAAAAAATAAGTAAAGAATCCCTTAGTATGGCAGAAAGGTCCACAAAATCAGGTACTGAGGTTTGGTGAAGTACTGCACACTGTAATTCACATATATGTACAGTGAAGGATGATAACTTTCTTTATAGCATCAGTTTTTCAAACCACATTCCATAGTGGAAGAGACGGTGATCTGAAGAACTGTTTGTTCCCATGATGTTTATGATCTTTATTTCTCTTTTTTTTTTTTAATTATTTTTTTGTAGATAAATGCTTCCTATGTAGATGTGTTTCCTGTTTCAATAGTAGAGGATGCTCATGTAACCGAGTGGGAGAAAAGTACACAGACATCTCTGTGTTAAACTTTATTTCACATTGCATGAGACTTTGAAATACTCTTCCATGAAATACTATGAAATACTTAGTGTATATAAAAGTGTTTTAATTTCTGTATGAATTATATTTTGACTTACTGATGTGTTTTGCACAAATTGTCAATTTTATCAACTAATTTCAAAGGGGGACACTATATTGCACACTGAGTCATCAGATTTTTATCTACATTTTATTTGAAAGGTTGAAGGAATGTATTTCCCCTCCCAGCAACCTCTGTGCTCTCCCCAGCTCCCTTCCAGGAAGCATTATTCTTCTAAGATCGTGATAATGTGAAATTGTTGTCATTTCGAACTGAAATCTCAGCAGCAAAGCTAGTGAGATTTTGTATTAGAACCATCTTTAACTCCTAAACTCAAGCTTTGAATTTTTGTCTAAAAAATACATAATTCTACTCTTCTGTTTTTTTACCAATGCTGATACATTCTAGAAACTCTTATTAGAGTTGAAAATATCAGCATTAAATGTAAATCTAAATGTAAGTGTTTTATACTGACAATACAGTGACCATTTCAGAATAGAAGTTAATCTCAAAATCATTTTTAAAAAGAGAAGACACTTGGCAGTCTCATTTAGGACAATTAGCATTAAAATTAAAGCAGTGCATTTGTCTTATTCTGTTACCTGCTTTGAATTATGCTTATAATGGCATTGTTTGTTGCTAATCTTGCCCATCACTTGCCTGCTGTGGGACTTTTTTATCAGATGGTTGAAATGTTGCCAAAGTGTTACTGGCATGTGAAGGTTTTCCATTTCCCCTGACCCTGTCAGGCTACAGTTTTTGAAAGGTTTTAGTCCAGTTCTTCATCCTTCTGAGGAGGAGGAGATGAGCAAAAATCTGTATTGAGGAAATAAAAGCATTATTAAAGCTGCTGTACTTAACAAGACCAGCATAGGAACACTGTAGAGCACAGCACAGAATGGCAAAGAGCTCTTAGGTCTGCTCCACCTTGCTCACAAGGAAAGGGAAGTTGGTAATTTTAATTGGAATCAGTTGAATTAATGAGAGTTGATCCACCCACCCTGTCTGCCCAACAGAAAAGAAAATCTGCCTTTTTATAGCCACTTGAAAATATAGTTAAGTTTGCTTCTGGTGCTAATGCATTCTAAGTTGCACTCAATAGGGGAAAGTAATAATAAAGAGAGACTTCTTTTTACAATTGAACTCTCCAGTTAGATCTTAGTCGGTCTTCAATTTGTTTCTTTTTCCAGAGTAGAAAGTGAAAAAAATTAGTATTATTTATTTCCCATTGCTTACCTAAATAGAAGGCTACTGCTCAAAATTAGTGATGTGTTCATGTGCTGAGACAGATGACCTTTCAGTTGACACTCTGAAAATTAATAATTTTGCTTTAATGATTTTAATTTGGTTAACTTATCCATTATTTGTGACACAGTCCTTATAATGATTTTGTTTTGAGACTGTTCTGAAACAGAAGCTAAGATTATTATAATTGAAATAATTATGATGGCTAACAGATACAGAAATGCTAAGTTTAATGAAAAATGGGATTTTAAAGTTAAACTTACTATGCTTATGATACATGCTTCATGGTATATTATTTCTCAGTTCATTCATTGAAAAATTTATCTATGCTGTTAAAAAATTCAGAGTCAAAAATCTTACTTAAGATTAAACACTGGTCATCTTGGTTTAGTGTAGAAGAAAGTACCTTAAATCAAAGGGCAGTAACCCTGTTTGTTTCTGCTAAGGAAGCTTTTTTTTCTGGATTAATCTAAGTAACACAAAATCCAAACCAAAGAAATAAAAAACCTCAACCTATCAAAAACCATCCACCCTGTGGGTCCATTCCTTCTTTTTGAAGTTCAGTTCTTAGCAGTTTAAAAATAAAACTTCATGACAGTAACTCCAGCAGCAGTAAAAGTTTATAAAACTGGTGTGAGAATTTTACAATTTTTAACTGTGTTTTGACAGGTGTTCATGAGAAACAAGAAATTAAGAAAAAGAAAAATGAGAAAGGATCCATTAGTGCAACACACCTGCCGGCCGTGCCAGCTTCTAAACCTTCTGCTGATCAGATAAGACAAAGTGTCAAGCAGTCTCTTAAAGAAATTCTGATGAAAAGGTAAAAATATAGTAATAAATTATTAATATGTGTTTGGAAATATTTTCACTTAAAAAGCAGAGGAAAAAATATTAATTATTTGGAAGCATTTGGTAATTTTTGCCATTGTGTTTTCTCACAGATTGACAGACTCCAGTTTAAAGATTCCTGAGGAGAGAGCAGCAAAAGTTGCCACAAGGATTGAAAGAGAGCTGTTTTCTTTTTTTCGAGACACTGATGCAAAGTATAAGAACAAATACAGAAGCTTAATGTTCAATCTAAAAGATCCTAAAAATAATGTATGTGAAATTTGTCTGTTGTGCTTTACAGAAATCCTTTATTTGTTGTAGATTAAAGGAATAGTCTTCTATGTAGATACTTTATAAATCCTGCTGCAATTTACCTGTTTGGGGGGGGGGTTTAATAGGTTTTTTTGTTTCTTTCATGTTGTTTGTTCTTTGGGCACTCAGTGTTCTCTGTCTTCTTTTTCCTCATTATTAATTCTTCCTCTCTTCGCTTTCATTGTATGTTTTATTGCTGGGTTTCAAAGTGTAGTGTATATCAGCCTACCACTGATTTCTTATTTGGATGTTCCTGTTTTCCCCCATAACTCTTTGGTGTTTACTACACTAAGGATTTTGCCATCCAGGATCTTGTCTCACCATTCTTTTTCATACCCAGGTTTCTCAAACTTTATCTTCACTCTCTTTTCTGCTTTCTATGAGCTCATTAGTCAACATCATACCTCCACAGCTTCTGTCTTTTGTCCTTTTATCAGTTACTCTGATGAAGTTGCTTTGTTGTAGCATTTTACCATTACAATTAGCCAACTGTAAATTATACGAACAAGCTAACTTCTGTCTAGCAGCTAACTTCTGCCTTGTCTTTGCTCATACCCCTAAATTAGTTGGTTCTCTTTCTTTTACCCTAGGATTTCATTCAGTCAAGAAGCATAGACATTCTCTTTGATACTGTCTTCTCTTTGTTGTATAATACAGAGGATTTGCACCTTTTTAGAAAACCAAAATGTCTGAGTTACTGCTGCAGTGGGCATAAACTCATTTTCTCCTTTGAAACAACTGTTGATTATACATCTGATCAGTAAGGGTGTATGTAGATATATTGTTATGTAGAATAAATGGAGCTCTGGAATGAAGATTTTTATGTTAGAAAATATGGTACCACTTCTGCAGTGGAAGAAACAAACCCACATGATCCCTACAGCTGTACAAAGCATGTTGTATGTTGCTTCTGTGATGTATTTCCTGCTGCAAGCTGTTCTTGTCTTGACAACAATAGTACTTTTCTTTTTTCTTCTAGATATTATTTAAGAAAGTACTGAAAGGAGAGGTTACTCCAGACCATCTAATAAAAATGAGTCCAGAAGAATTGGCTTCCAAAGAACTGGCTGCCTGGAGACAGAGAGAAAACAGACATGTGAGATTTGTGAACTTCTGTTGTTTGGTTGACAGCCTAAGCATGTGTAACTTCTGTTTGCAGGTTAAGTCTATGCAAAAAGAACAGAATGCATGTTGTACAAAGCAATTGTGACTAAGCAGGAGGATCTCTATAATTTCTTTAGTATTCAAAACCCAAAGAGGTTTTTAGGACAAAAGTGAAAGAAGTGTAGTCAGTTCCTGAAAGGCATTTTCCTTTGCCGTGCAACTGTATTGCTGCTTACTCTTTGTTCTTCTCTCTCAAGAGTGAAGGCTTCTTTGTCCTTATTTTCTGTAAGATTTTAAAGCTCTTGCTAGAGCTTTAGAAATACCCGTTTTTTAAGGAGGGACAGAGATCTGCTTGGACAAACCAAACCAAACTGGTGTTGTTTTTAACCAACTGATGGAGCATGACAAATCACCCACCAAGAAGTAAACTTGGAGCTGAAAACCTGATCTGCCAGTCTGAAAAGCAGCCTAAAGGGAAAGCAGAAAAAAAACCCAAACAGTAAAAAAAACCCCAAGAGAGTATAGGAAGATTATTAGCTTACTTTGAGCATGACTTTTCTTGAAACAGACAGTTACACTATATTTATAGCTGTGTTGACAGTTTAGGAGGAGAAGCAGCAATATGAGAAACTGTATTATTTTTATAGAAGATGCCTTTTTTTAAATAATACCCTGTTTATTGGCCATTTAGTCCAATGATAACTGCAGCTACTTGGAAATGACCATTAAAAGTCTCCTAGTTTACAAAATCTGGATTTGTATTGACAGAATCTTTGATATTTATATGCCACATCATAGAACCTAAAAACGTGATATTTGGATAGTGTTAACTGGTATGCATTTTGAGTTTGGGTTTTATCATACCAGGAATTGTGGGTTTTATCAGATGATTTCTGATAAAAAATTAATGAGTAGATAATGTAACACAGAATAGATGGAAATTCATCCTCTTGAATTCTGTGTACTGAGAATGAATGTTCCATGATAACTGATTCAGTATGATGTGATGCTGTTTTAGAGACTGCAATGTGCATTGCAGTAGTAATTATTCCTGTGTTTTTTCCTTTCCATTGCATATTGTGACTAAATCTGTTTATGAATCATGACAACTTTTTGTTAGTTTCTGTGCAAAAACAGTTGTTGGATTATTCTGTTATGTCGAAGTTGTTTCAAAAACCTATAAAGGCATGAAAAGTTTGATTATTCTGTAGCTATTACATTTGTTTTTGTAAAAATTATTGAAATACTGAAAACAGACCACACATGATAGTATTCCACTACTGTGAAAAAGAGTTTCAAAACAAGTTATTATGCTGCTCAAAAGATTACTAAAGAGTCCCTATTATTTTGGAGAAATACTTCCAAAATCTCTAGAATTTGAAATGGAATACAGCATGTAAAAAAAAATGTATCATTTTACTATATTTTTCATTTTCCTGTTTAAGCAAGACATCAAGTCTGCTACTTATTTTTTTTTTTTAATTTCCCAGAGTGTTCAAAAGTAACTGTAGGTATTTGGCAGGCAGATAAAGCAATTGTAGAATCCTTGTTTCCTTAATAAACCAGGCTTAAAATATTTGCAACAACCAACACTTCTTGGTTTAAGAAGTGTAAATGTGCCTTAAGAAGCAATATTAGAAATAATGGTTTATATTTTATTTTATTGCAACAGAGCAAATTGGCAGTCCTGATCAGAATTAGCATATCCATTACTTTTAAGAATACCTTTAAATGGTTTTTCTTTGAGGTGAAGCATTAGGTTTATGTATTAATAAACAAACTCTTGAAGAAATAATACAATTCTGCATGTATGTTATATCATACATTGTCCCTACTATTATGGAGTTGATGCCTTTTTTTTTTAAGTTTAGCTCTTAGAAAATCAGAATTACCAATATTTTCATTTACTGTTGAAGGTTTGCTTTATAAGTTGTTTAAATACATGCCTGGTAAGTACTTACTGCACTGTAGGAGAAGTTAGATGGGCTGCTTGCATGTTTGTGTTATGAAACTAGTTGACACGTGCAAAATAAAAATGTATTATTTTTTTCTCCAGAGAAATCCTATTTATCTCTTTGTATCTCTTTTATTTGTGGATTTCCAAATTTTATGGTTTGGGAATAAGTGCACATAACTTCCTGTTTTCACAGACAATTGAAATGATTGAGAAAGAACAGAGAGAAGTTGAAAGAAGACCTATCACAAAAATTACTCACAAAGGAGAAATAGAAATTGAAAGTGAAACACCAATGAAAGAACAAGAGGAAGTAATGGAAATTCAGGTAGAAAAGAAAGCATGACACCACAGTGTATTCAGTTCATAGACAACGTGGTTGTGAAGTGTTTTGTTTATGATTTTGTTATTCAGATCTGTAATTGCATGTTAGGTCTGAGTTAAATTTTTCTTTGATCTTTACTGACTTTTACTTCTGGACCTGGTGGATTAGTTGGTTTTTTTTCTTCCATATTGTGACTGTATGATGAATTCTGGCAATTGTAGAAAATAGAAAAGTAGAAATTAGAAAATGTTCTAAATGTTACCTAAAGATATTTGAGAATACCAATTAATTCTTTTAATGCGTCTGTGATTTTGTGACAGCATTTTAGGCTATACATTTGAAACAGAACCTTTATGTCTGAAGGGGAGAAAACACTATAAAGCATTTAAGTAATATGAATGGCAATATTAGCTCTGGATATTAACAGAGGGGGAGGAAAGGCTAACTAAAATGTATTTGACTTTTCTTAGGAACCTAATATGAAGTTGTTTGAGAAGTCAGACGAAGCTGAAAAAGATAAAGAAATAAATGAATCTGCATCTCCGGACACCACAAGTCAACATAAAAATCATCTCTTCGATCTTAACTGCAAAATCTGCATAGGTATTCGGAAAAGCACATGAAAATAAATGTATCATGCCTCTATAATTTCAGTCATAAATCTCAGTATACCTCAAGAATGTAAATAAATCTAGTTATTAACATAGTTTGAAAGTTGTGGAAGCAGTGTTCTACTTAATAATTTACAAAAGAGACTACTGAAATGATAGGTTATTTGCATAAACTTGTCATCTTTTTTATAAAAAAGACTGCAGAAAAAGAAATCCCTATAATGGATATGCATACTAGTGTTGATTCCTCATTTCTTTATCCTGTGCCATTATAGTGTCAATATTTATGTATAGTACTGTATAAATATATACAATGGATAAATTTATACAAAGTAAAATAGGTATAAAATGTATGAATTCCTTATCCTATCCCACTTCAATGACAATAGGTGGTGGTTTTGGTGTGTCTTCCATGTGTTCAGAGGAACTCCTCTTTTTGTTTCTTTAATAAAAAATAAAGCCCACTGCAATTCCCTCTCTGCAGGACGAATGGCACCACCTACTGATGATCTTTCTGCGAAAAAAGTGAAAGTGTCTGTTGGAGTTGCACGGAAACAGTCAGACAATGAAGCTGAGAGCATTGCAGATGCACTTTCCTCCACATCAAGTATTTTAGCTTCAGAATTACTGGAAGATGATAAGCAAGACTCATCGAAATCATTCACCCCTCTCCCAAAGTAATATAAACTGTAGAAACAGTATTTTTAAATGGAAGACATTATTAATCTTGTTAAACTATTATATCTAAAGCTAATTTTTAAATCGCATTTCATTAATCCATTTGTGTACTTGAAGTTGCACACATCTTAAGAATGGACTTCTCTGGTGGAGTAATTGTGCATTTATATAAATAATAGTACATATATTGTGGTGATTGCAAACTTCTAATTGCCACATTTTTCTTTTAGGGAAAAATAAACTATGTTTTCTGATGCAACAAGGTCTAAAAAGAATTCACATTAAAAGAAATGAGGATATAGATTTCATGTTGTATTTTGCTATTAAGGAATGTAGTTTGAACAGTGCTGCATTTGAATGAGTGTGTGTCTTTGTGTATGTGTATATATATAAAGCCAGGGAATTTGAGATTGCTCTAAACAGAGCATTTGCAGTGAGAAATCAGACTAGTTTTAAATCTCAGAGCAGTGATTTTCTAGACATGACAGGTAACAGCAGCTTGATTGATGTTTTGCTGTACTTACTGTCAACCCCCTCTTCATTTTCTTCCACACTCTGCTATTCATTAAAGAGGAAATTGCAGTTTATGAGACTGCTTGTTTCTGGTTTGAGGAAGGATTTTCTAGAAAAAACAACTCCCAGTTATTTAGAATTGACCACAGTTCATGCTGAAATTTTGCCTTTATTGGGACAGTGTGATCCTTTACCAAGGACAGTGGACGTAACTTGAAATCTGCAGTGTCTAGTATAGACAGACATAAATGTAGGTTTCTGTGTTACTGTAACAGCACAACATCTGGTACTACTGGGCATCCAGCTTAAAACTGCTAATAGCATGCCTAGAATATTTTAATAGCAACATATTGGGAAATGTTGAAATGTGTAATCTTTTCGGTAAGGAAACTCTCAGGTTGAGAAACACTCTCCTGTGAAATTGTCTTCCCATTTAGTTTGGAGCTACTTTGCAGCTACTTTGTTGACAAAACTGAGGCTTTTTTTTGAAGGGAGGAAAGACAGTTTTGTGACAGGTGAAATTGGGTACTCACCTGTACTGGTGAATTGGGTACTTCTGTGGTACTCACAGAAGCTGTGGAAGTGATGCATGGGTGAGAAGAGATTAGGAGCCAGCCTGTGGGGCAAGGAGAAGGACGTGGAACGTAGGCATTTGGATGGTGGACAGACAGTGTTGCAACAAAATGTAGGAGTTAGGAAAGTAGGATAGGCCAGCAGGCAGTTTGTCTTCATTCCTCCCTGTGGCAGGGGAAAGTCTCGCTGGCTGAGCAGCCCCTATATATGTTTGTGTCCCCTTCAGTAACGTTTAATAACTGTTGGACTAAATAACTTCTCTGTTTTTAAAAGATACATTAGTGAACTAATGTACTGCTTATCTGCCTGTCCTTCCTGAACCATATATCTACTCCACTGGAAGATGAGAAACATGATTGTCTGCCTGTCTCTTGGCAGGATGCTTAATTGAAAAAGAAAATTCTTCATAATACTTAATTTTTTTATAAAGAAAAATTATTATTTACATTACTTTGTGTGATATGTCATGTTATAAACAAAGTGGGTTTTTGTTTGTCCCTTTTTAGGTCAGAAACGCCCGGTACTGTGGAATGTGAAAGTCTGTTTCTGGCACGCCTGAATTTCATCTGGAAGGGTTTTATCAATATGCCTTCAGTGGCAAAGTTTGTTATTAAGGCTTATCCAGTTTCTGGCTCTTTTGAGTATTTAACAGAGGTACTTATATTTACTACAAAGAACGAACAGTTCATTTATTAACTTTAGCAACTTGTGTACCCTGTATGATAGTATAATGATGAAACACAGTGAAGCATGATCAGTGTGCTGAGTAAAGTATTTGTGGGAGGTTGTAGGTTAAGGTGTGTATTTTTAAGTAAAGTATTACTCAATAATGTACCTGTGGTTCATCTTATTTACAACAGAAACCTGCTTAATGGGGTTTATTTTTTTTTACCTGGTGGCAATTCTCATCCTAACCTTCCATTGTAAGACTAAATTGTCCCTAAAAAAAAAAGTTTCTAGAACGTTCTCTTTAGTATCTGAGAGGCTGGAAAAGCATCCAACTGCCTTTAATAGTTGTCTTCATTCTTCTGTAAAATTAAGATCAGAGAGCCCATAAGGTTCAGTGTTACTTCTGACCAGTTACACAGGAAGCATCAGTTTTCTTATCAAAAGGACTTAGGTCTTCAGTTAATTAGATTGTCTTTAGTTTTCTGTCAAATCTTCAGGGGATGCAGTAATCCTTAATACTAAAGGATTGGTTTATGAGTAGGATGTTCTTTTCAAAACTCATTTGCTTTATTTCAAAAAACTTTTTTCTTAGGCGTTCTTGAACGATCTGAAAGTCTCTTTATGTTGCTTAGTATCCAAGAACAAATTTACGTCTGTATATACTTGCATGTGTAGGTTATGTTTTCCCCTCAAGATGAAAATTTTAGAAAGTTTATTACATACTGCTGTGGAGCTCTCATTGCAATTTGATCTTACAGATAGGTTGAGTGTTTCTAGAACACAGTACAGTTCTGTTGGTAGTTAATGTTACTGAAAAGAATAGTTTTGGAGAGGTATAAATGAACAGTATCGAATGATAGCTTATTTATTCCATATCATTAACTTTACACTGAGAATATTAATTTAAATATCCAGAGTTTGTTTCTACTGTTGTAACTTCTACCGATATTTTTGAATTATAATTTAAGAACTAAAAGAACAAAGTATGTTTTGAATATAGGAAACAGATACTGGATGAAGGATTTATCACACTATTTATGTTGGATTCAGATTTCTGTTGTCTTTTCTCGTAGGATTTACCTGATAGTATTCAAGTAGGTGGGAGGATATCTCCTCACACTGTCTGGGATTATGTAGAAAAAATCAAAGCTTCAGGGACCAAGGTAAAAATTTTACATATTAAAGACTTGCTGTTTAATGTACATCTGAGTCATCCTAAAGATACTTGTTTTGTTTCTCTTTGCAACATTTGTGAAATACATGACACTTTTAAGGATATCTGATGGTTATATTGAATGGGATGAATGGCAACTGCTGGCGTTTATTTCCTTCCTATCTAACCGCAACCAATCCTTTGCTGTTTGACAATACCTGTATTCCTTTGACACAGTAACTTGTTCTGAGTATCACTTCTTATGTCTCAAGTGTTACCTTTGCATTTCAGTATTGTTATGGTGTGCAAAACCAAGTCTCAAGTGTTACCTTTCATTTTGGTACTGTTACAGTGTGCAAAACCATCTAGATGGCACTCTACTGGACTTGTCCTGCTGTGTTTCAGTTGTCCTTGTGCTTCCCAAAACCAGATAGTCTTTTCCAGATGATGTCTCACAAGTGCTGTATAGAAAAGAATCACCATTTCCCTTGGCCTGCTGACTGCTTCGTTTCTGGCACCCAGAATGCAGTTGGCCTTCTTGGCTGGCATGGGCATGTTCATGGGGTTCATATTCAGCTTGTCCATCAGGACCCCCATGTTATTTTAGGGCAAGCAGTTTTCCAGGCAGTCAGCTCCTCAACCTGTCTTGGTGCATGAGGCTACTCTGGCTCAAAGTGCAAGATTTTAAATTTCAACTTTTCTTACATTGACAAAGGTCAGCCTGTTTTTTCAGCCTGCTGAAGTCCCCCTGCATGGCTGCCAACACTTCAGCATATTGACCACTGCCCCTGCTTAGGTGCCATCTCAGTTTTGCAGGGAATCTCCTGTCCAGTGTTCCAGATCACTCATTAAACCATTAAACAGCATCAGCTTCAGCATCAGTTCCTGAGCTGGGCTTTGGGCATAATTCTGGGATCTGAATAGTGGTCTTCCCCATTATTAATGTATCTCTTGGACACAATGGACTACAAAATACAGCTTTGTAGTAATGTTAAGGGTTGGAAGTGGAATAATTAATTGGAAACCAGCATAAATAAACTTGTTATTTAGCTGACTGATAAAATATTGGCTCTTTTGTCATGCACTTCAATTAATTTTTTTAGTACTAAATGCTTTCTATTTGTTTTATCTAGTTCTCCTGAATTTTTTTTTGGCCATGTTTCTGTTCCTTCTGTCTCCTCTGTTGTTCTCTGCCTTCCTGAGGAGGCTTTTTCTCCTCTGAACTGGGCTTTTAAATAAAGAGCAGTCAGTAAAACAATTAACATTTCACAGAAAAATGTACTTGACCAACTTCCTCTCTCTCTTCCTTGTAAACAGGAGATCTGTGTAGTTCGTTTTACCCCAGTAACTGAAGAGGATCAGATCTCCTATGCGTTGTTGTTTGCTTATTTCAGCAGCAGAAAACGTTATGGTGTAGCTGCCAATAATATGAAGCAAGTTAAAGATTTGTACCTCATCCCTCTGGGTTCCTCAGATAAAGTCCCTCATCACCTTGTGCCTTTTGATGGGCCTGGTAAGTACTACTTGGAATTTGGAACTTAATCATCATAATGCTACTAAAAGAAGTTTGCAACAGAAATTTAAGAGGAAATTAAATTAAAAAATGCCTACCATTTTATTCCAAAATGTAATGAGTTTGCCATAGTATTATTATATTAGTTTCCTTGAAAATACATTAATTTCCCATTGTTAGATTATTCTGATACTTTATAGTATTGATGTTGAAAAAATTACTATGTATAACTTTGTTTCGTGTTATAAGTTTGTTCATTCCTTTTCTAACCCACGTGGCTTTGTAGATTTCAGTGTCAGTAAACTCAGTTACGCAAGTGGACTGTCGTAGTTCTACTGGGTTCCGAAATGATACTCTCACTTTAAAATAGTATTTTTCATTATTTGAAATGTACTAATTCTTTTTTTCTCAAGTATTCCAAAGCTCCTTAAAAAAAATACATGAGCAGTTTAAAATGTAGGCCAAGGAAGAAAAGGTCCTAAAATAGCTTTCAGCTGTTCTGCTTACACCTGAGTTATTTTGTATCGATTTATCTTGGTTATAAAAATTTGTGGATGATCTCTCTTTTTGAGATAGGCAGGACTGAAATCAAGAGAGTGAGCTACAGCTCATAATTTTTTTGCAAGAACCTAAATTATACAGAACAAAATACATAATGAAGGGATAGGTAATAGTATAACTTAAAACACAGTGCCTTTGCTGGAATGAGGGAATCGCTATGGAAATTCACTCTCGGTAAATCTTTGAAGAAGTATGTCTAATGCAAATTGATGAGGAGACTTTGTGTTTATTTTTTTTTCCTCTGGTGCTACTAGACTATACTGTAGCTGTGTTAGACAAACACGATGTTTAACTTCTATGCATCTCTGATGAGACTAAATATCCTATACAACTGTCTCGTGTTCTCTCTTTGGAAGTTATAGGGGGCAGTATAGTACTTAAAACAATTTGCAATATTTGAACTATAATGTTGGAAATACATTTGTATTATTTTAAGTATTGTTTGTTATGTTTAACAAAGGAAATTTCAAATTTCAAAACATTATTACTTTCTGTAATATATTGTGAGCGTGTGGGGGTTATTTTTGTTGAAATGATTGCCTTTAACAAAATATAAAGAGATAATAAATTGCTGTTACAATTTTGTACAGGGATTGAAATACATCGACCAAATTTGTTACTGGGATTGATAATTCGCCAGAAAATGAAGAGGCAGATTACTGCTGTTTCAAGTGTTACTAGTAGTTTTGCGGATGAAGCTGCTGAAAGTACCTTGAGTAGTGTGCCACCAGAGAAGAAAAGCAAGCCAAGCAAACCTGAAGTCTCTCATCACGAGTTGGCACTAGAAGAAGAGGAAAATAATTTTTTCAATTCCTTCACAACTGTGCTGCACAAGCAGAGAAATAAACTTCAGCAGTCTAATACAGAAGATGTTCCAGCAGTTGTTGAACCACTGGTGGAAAGCACTAAACATGAACCACCGAAGCCTCTCAGGTTTCTTCCTGGAGTCCTGGTTGGATGGGAAAATCAGCCTTCTACTCTGGAACTAGCAAATAAACCATTGCCAGTGGATGATATTCTTCAAAGTCTGTTGGGTACGACAGGGCAGGTATACGAACACAGCAAGTCAGAAACAGGTCCTAGTGAAGAGATACCATTATTAAATGAACAGGCAACCTTGAAAGAAGAAAACATGGATGTTGCTGATGTAACTACGGAAGTTAGTGAAGCAAAGACTGGTTTGGATGATCTTCAGGAATCCACTAACACTGCTGTAACTGTGGATACAGCAGCTGCAGGGACCTCAAGTTCTGCAAAAAGTGCTGGTTCTTTGATAGGGTTGAGTCTTAAGGGAAAACCTCCAGATGTCTCCACAGAAGCATTTTTAGCAACTTTATCTGCTCAGTCACAGAATAAAGAAACAGAAGAAAGTAAAGAAAATGACCCAAAGTTGCAGGTACCAGACAAGGATAGTGTTTCACAGGAAGTTAAAAGGAGCACAAATTCCAGCTTTTCTTCCTCATCAAATGCAGGGAAAAAACCCAATGAGAACAGTGTTAGTGTAGGTTCTGCTGAAGGTACCACTGCTAGTACCTCTAAATCACCGCCATTTATTAATCTTAAAAGAGACCCACGACAGGCAGCTGGACGAAGCCAGCAGACTAATACTTCAGAAAACAAGGATGGAGACGTTAGCAGAAGTGAAGACCGACAGAATCCTTCAGGAAATGATCAAATAGAACCAGAGAATAAACAGTCTTCTGGAGAAGTGGGCTTAAACCTGTATCAAAGTGATCTGCAAACCAATGAGTCGCAGTTCAGTTCAGCTGCAGCTAAAGCAGATAGCACAGTTGCATCACAAGCGGAAGATAACAAACACTCACAGGAAGATGCACTGATGCAAAACATTGAAACAGTGAATTCGTTTAGAAGAGGACCAGCAGCAACTTCATCTCATTTTGAAACCGAAAATTCTTCTCGTTCTGAATTTGTTTCCAAAGTCCCAAACCCTGTTACAAGCAGCAGCTTCTCATCTGTTGGACCTCCGCAGCAGAATTTTCAGCATCCTAAACCTAATCCACCTGGATTTCAGTTTCAGGCTCCTGCACCTCATAACTTCCCTCAGCAAAACAACCCTATGTTTGGATTTCCTCCTCATTTACCACCTCCGCTTCTTCCTCCTCCTGGCTTTGGTTTTCCTCAAAATCCAATGATGCCATGGCCACCAGTAGCTCATTTATCAGGTCAGCCACCACATTATGCTGGACCCATTGCACAAGGGCTACCAGTGGCTCACAAACAATCAAGATTTTTGGGACCAGAAAATTTTTTTCAGACTAAAGACAGTAGGAGACCAGAAAGACGCCACAGCGATCCTTGGGGCAGAGAAGAACAGCATTTGGAGAGAGGGTTCAGTAGAGGAAAAAATGATCGACAAAGGCTTTACAGTGAAACCCATCACCAAAAAAAAGAGAGACATGAAAAAGAGTGGAGCAACGAAAAATACTGGGAGCAAGATTCTGAGAGAAACAGACGCAGAGACAGAAACCAGGAAAAAGAGAGAGAGAGGAAGAGTAGAGAGGAAGGACAGAGAGACAAAGAAAGAGTGCGATCTCCACACAGTGATAGGGCTGCTGATGGAAAAAGCCCCAGAGAGACTAGAAATCCAGAAAAAAAGACAGAGAAGCCTAAAAGTGAAGAACAGGCTCATGAAAAAGATAAGGAGAGGGAGAAAAGCAAAGAGAAGCATAGAGAACGAGAAAGTGAAAAGAACAGAGAGAGACATAGGGACCACAGTGACAGAACTAAAAGTAAAAGGTAAAAAGATGCAGGCAGTCTTTTAAAATCCTATTTAAATAAACTGTTAGAGTAACGTCGTAAAACTTTGTATAAAAAAAAAGAGCCTGCTAGGATTGTGCCATCTTTTTTATTCCATGTTGGTGTTTTGCAGAAACAAGTCTGTGTTTTGGTACCACTCGATGTACCAATGCTCATCCTTTTTTTTCATTATACCAACTATCGCTAGAAGTAGGAGTTTAATATTTTTAAAAATTTTACATTGCTGTATATTCAAAATTTTAAAGATTTCTTTTATTAATATGCAATAAAGGCTTAGGAATTTTGTTAGTTGAGGAAGTTGGCTTTAGTCAAGTCTGCAATATAGTTGCTGCCTTTGGTAATTTGTGCTCTCTTCTGTTTTAAGATGCTCTGATAATTTTAAAGGTGATTTTCATACAATAACCTTCTTTTTAAATTGCACTGTTTTTAAAGACTGTAGCAAAGCCTCAGAATCCACACATTACAACAAAACAATATGCTTGGTGGTGTGAAGAGTTTGGGTTTTTTTTAAATTATTTGGTAGTACAATAAAAAAATTCAAGTGTATTCATTAGTTTTCAGGTATTTCCTAAGCATCTGAAGCAGTTTGTGACCAGAAATTGGAAGGCTGAGCTGCTCGAATGTTAATGCTTTAAACTGCACTTGTTTTAATAAGAAAGCATTTTTAACCTAAATTCTTGAAAATATGATTTGTAGTAGTAAATTCATTTCTCCCACCATTTTCCATGCTTCAAAAACTTGAATACCTAAGCTTGTACATTACTTTGTGTTTTGCTATCCTTTTTACTGTAAAATGTAAATATTTTAAGGGATATTTTGATTCTAAAATGATAAAACTTTCTCACATACTGTGTGTGTTTGATTTCATAGGTGTGAAACTGTAGGCTAAATGAATATGGAAAGCTGAATCACATAATGCCACATTTGTTGTATGCTTCATGGCTTGGTTTGTTTTGAGTTTTGGAGAACAAACAGGTGGGAGGGGCAGAAGAGTGTTTATACCTTTGGGACTTGGGGTAAATTGATATTTTGTGGTGATTACCATCCACTGATGCCAAACAATGCGAACGTGAAAACCAACTCAAGTCACCTACTCTTACACTTCTTAAAATACACTGGGCATCTTGTTGAATCTGTCAGAAATAACAAAAATATTCCACCATATAAAGAAAAATTGAGATTTATTGTTCTGTTTTTCAGTGTTTTATTTTTAGCTTTGAGTACACAACCTTACTGTGCTGCTGACATAACATTTTGCACGTAGCTGTAGAAAAGCCTCTTTTCTCCAGAAAGGTCTTCCCAGTTTGACAACACCCTAATTGTTAGTTTTAATTATGAATATATTTTAAAGTAAAATTTTACTCGAATACCTTGCAGGTAGCTTCGTGATCAAATTGATCAAAATTAAAAATCTTGCACAGGATAAATGGGGTGGTGGTAGACTTTTATTAGGTGATGTTTCTTACGCTCATAGTTGAGAAGGCTAATTTAAAAAAAAATCTTCAGTTTGTTAGTAACTAAAAGCAATATTTAAACATTTTTATAGAATGATAAATTAAATTAGTATTTTCCAAATTAATTCCATTGTCTGTATAGCAGTAGTGCCATTGGATATATCTGGTAGTATTATGCATGAGTTATATTGTTTAAATATTTCCATTAGAGTTCTGTAGGCACATGAGTTTATCTAAGCATCGTTCTCATTTTGGAAGTAATTTTTAAATTGGCAGCTCTCCATGTGAAGATTTTCTTTTGACCTGTTCAAAAGCACTCTACTCCCAGTCTACTGGTGATCTGCCTCTCACACGCACATCCATCTGTGCTTTGAAAATAAACTGGGGGCAGTAAAAATTGCAACTGCCTGGATGGAAGGGATGGGAATGCTTTCTGCCAGAACTATCACAAATAATTTGTTCGGAAAGAATATGTAAACATTTTGCAAGTTTGCTGAGTGCTTTGCTACCTGCCTCATGTATGTAGAACCTAAAGAGAACTGTAGTAAAACAGCTCTTGAGGGAGAGTTTTGTTAAGTGTTTAAATTAACAAAAAGCAACAGTCTGCAGGACATGTTCCTAGGAACTGAGTTAGTGTAATGGGAATAAATCCTGTTACCACAGGAATAAAGGATTTTATTTTCTCTGTTGCCTTCAGTCAGTCTCCTTCCAACACTTGTGTTAGCTGGAACTTCTTTGATTACTTGTTCCTTGTTTTACCTTGACTCGCTGCTCAGATCACAAAGGGCAGTGTGCACTGCTGAGGAACTGGCAGTACACCAGAAGCCCTAGAGGGAACAGGACAAACGCTAAATATGCTCCCCTCTCCAGCATCACATGGTGATAAAAGGCCCTACTTAGAGAAACTGGAAGAATCTGGGGATGACTCAAATGCTAATTGGGCTTTGTGAGCTGCCTGTTGGGAAGAGGCGAAGAAGCTCTGCTGCATCAAGCTGATCACTTGGGGCCTCAGAGCAGCAGCAGAAAGATAGAAAGAACCTCACAAATATGTTTGTGGATGCTTAATAAAACGTCTCGGGGTAGTTCCATAGCCAAAGTGTACAGCAGTAATCTTCAAGTCACCTGTTAACTGACTTGGCAGTGCATTCATTGCCACATACAAAGTACAGTTATATGGAGACAAGTGTGTGTCACCTAGTTTTAGGTGCTTATTGTCTCTGCTCCATATCTGCCTTATGGAAAGATAAACACACACCCTGCCTTTACCTCCCCCCCCCGCCCCAGAATAGTTACTTGTTTCTGACCTGTTTTTACATTTTGAAAACTCGTATTCAGAGAATTCCCATGCAGGGAGGTGATGTTTTATTATGTGCTTTTGAGCAATAGAAAAGTAAAAAAGGAAAAGATAGGAATCAATCACTATTATTTTTATTGAAACATTTTATTTATATAGTAAGCCAGCAGTCAAATGAGAAATGTAGATGTAGATAAATCATTGGTTTGAGCACATTAAAATAAACTGGATTTTTTTTTGTTGCTTCCTGAAGCAGAATATAACTGAACTTTTTCAGAGGGAATATAATTTTTGCATTTATAGATGAAGAGCTCTGTTTACTTTTGATATTATGAATTAATGAAAGATATAGTCAGGGAAATTCAGTTTGTTATGACCAAAACCTTTGTCTAGTAAAATTTTGATATCTTATTTAGGGACATATAAGCCAGAAAGGTGTAGCTAAAGCAAAGCAGTTCTTGGACTTTCTGATTGTTAAGCTCTTAGGAATAGAAGTTACTTGTAGACAGAATACCACATTCCAGTTGTGAATCGTTAAAGCAAAAAGTTTTCATGTAGTCAAATAGGGGGAGACCTCTGCTGGAGAAAACCAGCAGACCTTTTTTATCTCTCTTAAGTGAAATACCTTTTCTACTCTTAAAATCATTCTTTAAGTGTAATATTTTAAGCCTGTGTTCATGCTAAGCTCTACCATTCTACATAAATGCATACAGGGTGGACAGACACTCAGAAGGGAGGGAGAACTTCATTAGCTAATTAGGATCTTTGTGGGCTTAACAAGTAATTACAGCTGTTATGATTTAAAAAATTCTGATTACAGTAGACATGTGCTTTTTGCCCCAAATACACCTTTTCTTCCCTTCCCCAATTTCAGTTTTTACACTTGACCTTAATATTATAAAATTATAAGAGAAACACTAATAAAATTTGAGAGTTGGAGAAACAGGTTAACAGTTGTCCTCATAAAGCAACAAACAACTCTCGAATGATGGTTGGCTTTATAAGCTAATTACTATCTATTTGTTGACAAAACTATTTCCAGCACAATAAAGAAAAAAATCCTGCAGACTTTCCCGTTATTTTAAAGTAAATACTAAAGAGTATAAGTAAGTAATTTTAGAAGTAAAACATGCCTTATATCTATTAATGCTCAACATAAAATTGTCCCTAATTACTTTTTTTTTCTTAATGAAAAGCTTTCTTGTGTTGGTTTCTGAGTATTACACTGCCAACTAACACAAGAAACAAGAGGAAAAGGAAGTTTATCACTTCTGCAGAGTCTTGAACATTTTTTCAATTAATTTCCAGAATTTCCATCATAAACATTGTACCCTTCTGCATTCATTAGCTGAATCTTCTTGGAATCTTGGAAGAGCACAACATCTTTAATTTTACCAGTGAATTCCTTCTGAAAAAGCCCTGTAGTAACTACATTGACTTTCCTGCCAATTTCAAACCCACCAAAATAACAAATGCCACCATAGTTTAAAGCAGTGTATTTTCTTTGTGGATCAATGTCTTCAAAAAGAATTAGCTCCTCATCAAGATATACCTTAATACAGGTTTGGTTTTGAACTACAGTAACAAAATGCCATCTTCCGTCACAGCAGGTGGAGTATTTTCTGTGCATTAGAGGAACAGAGATTCTTTCTCCAAGATTAACCACAACTTTTAATGTTGCATTGGCAATACCAATGGCAAGGAAGTCATTATCTTCATCCTCACTTTTGCCTATCCATGCTATTAAGCCTTCAGTTTGATTGGTAGTAAAATTTAAAGAAACGCGGCTGTACCGGAGGTCTCTTTTTCTGTAATAAGAATCTGTGTATTTAATGTAGGAGTTGCCAACAAACTTTGCTATGTAAAATTTGATTTTGCTATCGCAGTACTTGCCTGACCAGCCTAGTGCACATACACAGGTGTATGAAAATGAAGAAGGTTGAGGAATACAGAGCGCTTGAGACCCACACATGTTTTGTGAACAGTGAACAGATTGCTCGCATGTGGTCCCTGTCCACTCGTGTGGGCAAGAACAAGAAAAGCCTGAGTTTTCAACTTGACATGTTCCGTTATTTTTGCACACTGAGTACCCACAAACTGTTCCGTCACAGTCACCAACATTGGCTCCACCTTTGGGATCAGTCGCAGTAAGCTTCAGTTCCTTGTTGTTTATAACAATTTCTCGAATGCAACCAGTGAAACCTATGGGTTCATTTTCTACTGCCATTGAATTAACAAGGTTTAAGGAAGACACCCCTCCAACAAAAAAATCTGTGTGTGTGTCTAGTACATTCATTCCAGGACTAGCTTTTTGAGTAACGTTGATACCATCCAGGTCCAGGTAGCCTTCATTGCCAACTCTTCCTGCTTTGAGTAAGTACCATGTATTTCCATTTGCACGGACCTTCTGAAGGGCCTGTAGGATGACTGTCTTGTCTCCGAGATTGTAGCGTAACTGTGTAAATCCGTTTACTAATGATATACATAGAAAGTCACCTGTAAAAAAAGGTATAAAAGAGTTTTAATTTCTAGAGGTGGTACACTGAAGAACAGCATATTGGTAATCTTGATACTTTCTTGCCTACACTTTCTTGTACCATCATCATCATATCTAAATCACATAAAGAGAAGTGGTCCCTGATAAGCTGCTCTTGGCCCTTTTTTTTTTTTTATTCTTGTAAACTGAACTTGTGTTTGCTTCAGGGTAAAAAGCCCAACCTTCTGCAAAGCTCTGCTTTTGTGTGGAAACTAGGTAACTGTGAGGTAGGAGGAAACAGGATCGCTTTGGCATCCAGGAAATGTGAGTTGGTGGTTTTCCCATTGAAAAGAATCAAGTTTTGGCCAAGTTACAAAAGCAAAAATACTCTCAATTTCCATATACTTGATGGATTTGTTAGTTTAGTGCACTGAAGTTGAGTCTGCAGCAGACATACTCTGCTTTACCTGAAGCTCCTTTTCACAACAGGGATTTTTTGGGTTTAATATTCTGACAGCTGTAGGAACAGGTAAGCTTTTTATTGAATTGTTCTGAAGGGCTCCATGACAGGAAGTATTAGGAAGGAGTTTTCTTGTTCTATCAGTGTTTCTGGCCTTACAGGCAGTGTAAAAGGAGAGAGAGTACCACTTTGGACTGTACTTACAACTGTGAAGAAGAAAAGCTGGGAAGGGTTAGGAAATGGAAACTGGAAGGAAAGTTTGTAAGAGCAGCAGTAGAGTCTGATGGGGTAAGTGGCAGCGAGGCAGAAGAGGACAGCAGAATATTGTGCTATTGAAAGCTATATTTTCAACCTTTTTGATATTTGCCTATGCAATTTAATTTTTTTTATATTACTTTTGGAAATAATAGGCATCAGGTTGTTGTTATCAGTTAAATTGGTAAACAAGTTTGTTAAACGTGAATGTAAGCTTTCTCTCCTAATAGTTACCGATCCAATTTCCTTAAAGGTTTTTAAGGGTGAACCTGTTAGTAGAATGATGAAGTTTGCTTTCATGGGTGTTCAATTTTTGAGTATTTCTGATCCTTGAATTACATTGCTTTTAGTAAAGTTAAAAATGAATGGCATAATTAACTCAAGGCTTGTGAAAGTTGCTAAAACCATTACCTCCAGGAATTATTCAGGTTCCCATTCAGGCAGGGTGGAGATCGTTCGGTTGTATTAGTGGCTGTAGAGCACCTGCTTTGTGCCTCACCTTCCCTGCCCCAGCCACCCATGGGAAGAAGAAAGCTCTTCATTCTTTCAACTCCAGTGGTGGCAGAGCACTTCCTTGCTAGTTCTGGTTGTGATGACCTCTTTTACTTCCCTATGTTCAGTGTTCTTTTCGAGTACTTTGTCTTGTTACGGGTTTTTTTCAGAAAATTAATATAATTCTTTTCACTTGTGGTTTCTCCTACTCAGTGATGTGGCTTTAAGCTTGCTTCAATTTTTCAGTGCATAGCTTGAAAGCACTCATCTGTCTTCAGCAATGTAAATAACCTGCTTGTGTATTTCTTTTGTCAGGACCTCAGTCCTAGGGTAAGAAAGGAGCATCAGGAAAAGTTTCTGAACTACCTCTTTGGCAACATTCAGTCTCCTTTCCTACCCAGACATGCAGACTTGCACAAGGACACAAGTACTCATTTTTTGCTGGCTAGGAAGAAGGAAAACATTGACCAGCATTGCTTTTTCATCTGGCCTGTAATCAAGAGCTGGAGAAGCTGGAAGTTCTCCAAGATTTCCAGGGAAGGTTTTTGGTAGCTTTGCACATTTCACAATGATCTGTCTGGTTTGGAATCTTATTTAGTCTTATTACAGAGCAAATCTGTGATTCTACTATCTATAATGTGAAGAGGTATGGGTGAGTTATGGGTTATGGGACAAATTTGAAGCCTCACTTCAAATTGGAGTAACTTC